GTATCTCATCCTATTTCTTACTATTGTCAAATTAATGACATTAAATCCTAATGGATAATTGGCTGGAAATAACTTGTAAAATGGTGCTACACACCATCAGAGCGAGAAAGCATACATAAGTAAAGGAAAAAAAGTTCCAAATACAATAAGCAAAGAAGGTAAAATAGGCATGCGAGGTGAGGAGGTTTGCAGCTAGCCAGCTCTTCTCTTGATTTCGTTTATTGGTGCATATCATAGTAAAGTATGGTTTCTCAATCTGACGAAAGCTTAGCACAGGTTAATCGGGGTCGCAAGATGGTGAACCGAAGGCTTGATTGCAGAATCTAACAGACTAGATTGATTTCAACCACATAGTCAAGTTGAGTCATTTCACTGCGGGAATTTCCACTAAATGTCCCTAAATTACATTAAAGATCAAATGTAAATTAATTTATCGTAGTTGTTTGACTGGTTATATATCTATATCTATATATAACCTTATATATGCGAATAGATTTTTATATGTCATATTTCATTATTATTCTATTGGTATTTAGGATTCGCAACTACCCGTAAATCGTGAATGAAAGTACCATTTTTATTTAGAGCAATAACGTAGTTGGAAGGATTATAATGCGAAGAATCCTCACTTTTTTTAAATATATATATTTAAAGATGCATAGCCTTCTTTTAGATTCACGTTTACCCTTTGGCCTTCGAATATTTGTGGCATTAGATGGAATGTGTATTTTACACTAGCCAGACTAGGAAGACGAAGCTGAGTGACACCTTTCGGTATTCTCAGACCTTAATTGTGAGAAAATTAAAGCTGAATGTTTTTGCATTACTTTCTGCTATTTAAACTACTTCTTATATTTATATTAAGTGGGCTTAGAGACTGCGAGTATATGTTGTACTAATTATCTCTAATCGCTACTTAATGAGATTATAAGTAGCGTGGTCGATTGCAATGGCTGAGTCCAGGCCTGTGGGCAGACAAGCAGGTCTGAGACAGACCAGTGGAGGCACGCATGCAGCCGTGTTGCCGATGGCGTGCCGCCAGCCCATTGGACAGTTTCGCCACGTACTCACGTGACCCGGCCAGCTCACCTTCGGCCGCAGGCCGCCTCTTGCTGTCTGGACCGCTCGCCGGCAAGTGATTTTGCGCCAATCAGACGTGAGGCTGCGAGGCGCACTGCGCCAGCCGCCTCTCCCTTCGTCCGGCCGCCTCGTCTTCTGCACGCCTGACCAGTCTCGGTTCTGGTCGCGCCGCTCGGGCTGAGTCCACCTCGTCTTCTACCTCGTACTCGCCTCGCCCCCGCAGCGCTGCCAAGTGGTCAGACAGCCAGACAGACAGCCAGAACGGCTGGGGCCAGACCTTTGCCGGCTGCCGAGTGGACGCGGCGAGGCGAGGCAAGGCGAGACGAGACGAGCGTATCGCAGGGCGCAGCGGAGAGTCGTTTGCCGACCGCCCGCGTCAGACAACTGCCTGTGCCGTGAAGCGAGCCGAGATGCACTCGTTCTCGATCGCCTGCCTCCTCGACGCGACAGCGCCGACCGTGGCGCTCGACCCCGCCACGTTCTGCCTCGAGGCGGCCGACGAACTCGCCACCTCGACGGCCTCCGCCGGCGCCGAGTTGAACGTGGACTCGCTTTTCGCCTCATTTCTCGCTCTCAGTCCCGCCCCACCGCCGCCGCCGCCGCAGCCACATCCACACGCACTGACGTCTTGGGACACCGCCCACGCAGCCGTCCACGCCTCCCGTGCGCCCAATCGCAATCGACCGCTGCCGCCGGCCCCGATGGGCCATTTCGCCGA